ATGTTCACCAACTCTAGAGGGACCTCTATATTGCAATTAAGTTCATCTCTGAGAAGCAGAGCTATACACACAGCCTGAAGTCATTTAACATAGAGCCTGTTTTTGTTGTTGTTAACAGGTTTTTCTATACCTGGATAGTAGGTTCCTCTGCTGATGCAGTATGCCAGATCAAGCCAAACTGAAAAAGTAAAAAAACAGGTTTATTTGAACAAAGTAACTCCCGGGTGATCCCTCCAGCCCCAGAGACTGGGGGCTGGAGAAATCACATGCCTGAACTAAAGTAGGGAGCTTAAATACCCTATAGGTGAAGGGTGATGATGTGCCCTCCATAAGATGGGTTTGTGCCCAAGTATGGTATGCTTTAGGGGGGGACTCAGGCCGCTGACAACTTGAGAGGAGGAGCTACCACAGTCACTAAGAATGCAGACCTGGGCTTTTTGGTGCCTTTTCTTTGTTGGAGATTTTCTGAGAGGGTGGGATTTGGAGAGAGAGAAATGGGGCTTTCTGGATTAAGCAGGAGTGAGCTGGAGGTTCCATCTGAGCAGTTGTCATTTTCTGAAATCTGATGCGGAGACCAGAGGAGACAGAGCAGGGTGAGGGTAGGGATAGAGAGGGTGGGGATGAATGCAAAAAAGCAAGAAAGCAAGAAAGCAAGAAGACAAGAAAGAAAGAAAGAAAGAAAGAAAGAAAGAAAGAAAGAAAGAAAGAAAGAAAGAAAGAAAGGAAGAAAGAGAGGCTTATAGGAATTCCCTCCAGTGGAATTTTGTTTTTTGACCCTTCTCTCTCTTCCTCCCAGGTTTCAGCACCAGATGAATGAAAAACAGAAATAAAAGGACATGACAGCTCCTAAGGGGTTGAGGTTTTTATTATGGATAAAAGGGAGAGCACAGGCCGAGATAGAGGCATCTGAAAGAGTCCAGACTGAACCAGGCCATATGAGGAGGGGGAAAGGGCAGAGGGGAGAGGAACCTGGGGCCAAGAGGCCAGGAGTGAGCCAGGAGACCAGGAGACCAAGAGGGCAAGAGACCAGAATAACAAAAATGTCTGGGTTATACAGAGAAGAGAAGCTGGGCGAAGAAGGCCAGTGGAGGGCGGGGACTGGAGAGATTGCAGGTGGGGGGCAGGGTATGCCAGCCAGGATGTTGCTCTCCATAACAGGTACTGGCAATGCTGAGAGAGGCTGGCAGACAATGCCTGCTTTGATAGGAGGTTCATAGGCACCTCAGCCAGTTTGACCGTGTGTGTGTGTGTGTGTGTGTGTGTGTGTGTGTGTGTGTGTGTGTGTGTGTGTGTAAAACACCATGTGACAGGCTAGGAGGAAGTTCCAAAAGGGAAGTGCAGGTAAACATGTAGCC